AGTGTGATAAAGCAATGAGCAATCTGAGTAGCTGCGCACAAAAATAACAGTCTTAGGGTATTCTGTTCCAAGAGATCTCAAACCAGAAGCTACATTGCTACAAAAAACTTCGACATCCGATTTTGGTTCAACTGCAAAAGATATATTGGCTCTATTTGGTTCACATCCTATTAGTACGACATCCCTCATCGACAAACGCTGAATAACTGCCCCATACGTATCATGTGTAGCTGTGGCTGTGAGAGCCATTACGTTTACATGAGATGGTAATAAAGATCTAATATCTCCCAAATGAGCATACGCCAAACGAAATTTATCTCCCCTAAGAAAATAAAACAGAATAAAATATGTATTGCAAATTATTATGCATATAAAAGGATTTACCATGACTTCACACAATGTGCTTCATCGACAACCAATGCAACCAACTTTTCTTTATAAACAGGAGACAAAAGCATATTGCGATAAATAGCATTACACATAAGACTCTCAGGACTAATATAGACCAGTTGAACATCACCAGCAAGCACCTTACGAATACATTTCTGATCCTCACCAATAAACTCCACATCAATACCCTTAGGTGTAAATCTTGCTTTCTGGTCCATCATTAGAGATATCAGAGGACTCACACATACAATGCTAATAAATTAAAATTCATTGGATGAAAAGTCCCTCCCCCACCATGTTAACGGTGGGGCCTTGAACAACTTTGATACGGTCAGTTTTCCAGACCCATCCCGGAGGCACGGAGGGTGTGGTCTGGCTACGCGAGACTAGGAGTGAACTGTCAAGATGGCCACTGGTGGATCAGGTTAGCTCTTGTCTCAGTATCAAGTGTTAGTGTTTGATTCACTTTATTTCACTTTACATTAGGAAGGGATACTGGATATTATGGATTGTTATTTTATGAGGAGAAAGGTTTAAATGAATATGTAGCAATATTTACTGTAACTAAAGATGGAAGAACACTCGATGATGTAAGTATATTATAATGAGGTATATTGTGTACATGATGCGTATTAATGTGTTTCTTTACAGTATATGAGAAGGAAGAACCCTGGAACTGAGTTTAATCAATTTATCTACTTTACATTTGACCAGCAGCAAGACTCTACACTTACATCAAGAGGTGATTATATTGAATTAAAGTTTGATACTCCACAAGTTAAGTCAACCACTGGATGGATTATTAAACCTGACACAGTACCTTGTAGAGTAAGTACTAGTATCATGTATATATATAATTAATGTGTGTGGGTGTGTATCAATAGATATATAGAAGTGATGTTGATAAGGTTGGTACACCTGGTTATCCTGACCCTCCCTCCTCCAGTATATCAGTACATGCTACACCTGATGCTGTTCTTAGACTAAAGTATACTATACCAGTGAAAGGTGTGGTGGATACAGGTGGTGGTACATTGTACATTGGAAGGACATTGAGAAGAGGTAAGATAGATGAGAGTGGGTGTGGTCTAGTGTTAATAACCACACCCATTACACTACTCCCAATGCTGGTACTAATATAATGATATTCATACCTTCAGTAGTATAAGTATTGTATTAATAAATAATAATTTAATTGACCATTGACACATACCGTGAATCATCCTTA